AAAATTCTCGAGTAATGGTCTGCGTAATTGTACTACTCTTTTTCGTTAAACCGATTTTCGTGAAATTTTATATGCATATTCAGTAGGTCTGAGAATAGGACAACATCTAAATATTAAGGGTGGTCCACCCTTAATTTTTTTATGATACATCATACAAAAATACATACAACATATTTTTTAAAATACACACCACTATTTTTTTATATGAAATGTTCACTCTTCTTCCACCAACCCCTATTTTTTATGGTTTTATGGACGAAGTTCGCTGGGACAGCTAGTATTTTTATAAAAAGTGCGATTCCATCATAACGAATTAAAAATGTATAAAATGATAGCTGTCCAATGCGTACACTGATTGCTTTGTATCGTATTAACTGACAATCAAATAATGCTTATTTTTTAACAGATTCAATCACTTAGTAAGACTACTTACCTACTAAGGTTACATTGATGATTGGATTATTATCATGTTACATCATAGTATGACGGAACGACTCTTCCTCAGTTTCAGAGGTGCAAATAAACGTGATAACGCATCGTCTCGCTATTTCGTTTTAGTTGGAATAAAAGATTGATATGTCAGCACGTGCTAATCAGTCATTGTTTTGTAGAAATCATCGTATAAATGCATGATATTTTCACATTGATACACTTTATACATCAGTCAGTAGGGTTGACGCTTCTCATGATATAAAAAAGCAATTTAATAATGAAAACTCTGTTAGTGTAGGTATGCACAGAGCAGAATAATGAATGCTAATAGATACCTATTACAGATATAAACAGAGCACGAATTTTCATGGTAGTTTTTACTCCTCCATAGCAGGTTTTTATGGCAGATTCTTCCACCTATGGTATTTTATATTAAACCTACTTGGTTAAGCATTGCGAATATCGTAGCCATATTGTAAATTTGTCACATTGTGAATTTAAATATGTGTCAGTTGGCACTTGTTCTTTTCTATATCTTTTCTACTGCATGCCACTCTGTGATAATCTAATATATAAAATTCTCGTGTCACGGTGTTTGTGGTTTAACTTCTCCGAAACGGCTTTCCCGATTCTCATGAAATTTTGTGTGCATATTGGGTAGGTCCGAGAATCGGACAACATCTATTTTTCATCCCCCTAAATGTTAAGGGTAATCCACCCCTATTTTTTTTTTCATTTTCAGATTTTTTTTTATTTTATTGTTGTTTATGATACATCTTACAAAAATACATACAACCCTGAATTTTCACCCTTCTACCACCAACGCCTATTTTGTTATGGCGGTACGAAGTTCGCTGGGACAGCTAGTAAACTATAAAAATACAGTAAGTATATGTAATTTCTTCTCCAAATAACAAGAATTTCTTACAGTAGTTTCTTTCCCTTTATGGTATTTATTTTTAACTTCGTTCCAACAGAGTGTTCTTCGGCCCTAACGTTTGTTTTTTTTCTAATACGTCATACTTTAGATTTCAATTTGTTCAACGTATTGTAAACCATCTCTATGAATTTTAATTTTATTTCGTTGAAATAGTGCGACCCTTTTGCCAACAATCACTTCATAAAACGTTTCATTTCCATTTTTTTTGAAATGATATGAATTATTTATTCAAACCATAACAAAGATACAATGACTGAATAGTATAGTGCAAACTCAGCGTTTGAAGAAACTTCACTCCAGGTACTTCCAAGAATTATCATAGCTGTATCATCCGCATATTCAGTGATTTTGCAGTTGGAAGAGTCAATTTAAAGAGGTATATTTAATGTAGGTATTATAAAGGGTAGGTCCTAAGACACTCCCCTGCGGAACACCGTAACCGATTATGTTAAAAGGGTGGCAAACAAGCATATGACACGCCTAATGGTAATGGGTCATCATAGACTATGACGATTGTGATTCCAAAAATATCGCTCGTGCCGTTGCCTACCCGCACCCCGTTTATGATTTTATCAAGTTTAATTCAATCCTGCTGATAGATCAGCAGCTATGCTTTTTAACTTTGAATTTGTGAGAGCATTGAAACTCACACGACCTTTTATTTTGATTTGAATGCCATTACTAAAACGTTTTAAAAGTTTTAACATTTAATCTGATATTATCACCAAATCCTGGCGTCGGAACACCCACCTCCTGCCACATTATGTGGAATCCATTTAATGAATCCTCTGAACCGACTGTTCGACCTGTAATCGCCACTTTGCATCGCAATTATGAGTGATGACTGAAGAGGTAACCGCGCTCAAGGTCAATTGCATGAAACAAAACACTACGTACCTAATAACTAATTCAATTGCGTTGATGTTAATCTTGCATTAGTTCGCACGGCGGCCGCGGCGCGGCGGTTGGCGCTGACGTCAACGCGGCCGCCGCCATGTTAGATGCGTGCGCGCCGACCCGACGCTATTGTCCGTAGTTTCCGGAAAAGCGGACAGTTTAGGGTCACTGATATATAGAATTTACTAGCCGAAATAATCTATGAAGTATGTTGCTGACATATATTTACTATCTAGAGCAGAAAAGTAGTACAGTATATTTTATACTTATGCGTACTATATTAAATTACCTTTAAAAACGTGATTTTTCTTTGGTTGAAATACGTTTTTTTTAAGCGATTGCTAGATATTTGATTATAATTTGCTCTTGCACAATTAAGCTTTTATATTCTTCTCAGAGCAGTACTTAGTGCAGACGTGGGGAAATAGAAAAGTGGGAAAAAATACAAAAAATAAGCAAATTGATTTATACTGCAGTTGTTCATCACTTTTCGAGTTTATTCATGACAGTTGTTTTATTAATGACTAGTGGCCCGCCCTCGCTTCGCTTCGGTGTAGAGCTGAAGTGTAGACTATAGTTATTGTTCTCAGGCCTGTATTATACACAATGACATTCTTCTTATACCTACCGCCGCCGCGACCCGTGCCGAGCGCGGCAACCGTTACACAAAAATAATCCTTATAGCATAATTCAGTATTCACGTGCGACGGCGCGATAGCTTATTTCATGTATATGTTTGGTGTTTCTATACCGATTTCTATGATTTTTTTATTGAATAGTTAATAATGTTAACTTTTTTAAATAAGGGATGAGTGAGAGTATTATAAACGTAAGAGTAAACAAATATAATCAAAATGCTCCGAACTGCTAAGCTATCAGGAGTTACACGTGTTATTGTGAGTCAACCATAAAAGATAGACATATGCTGTTGCGGGATATTTTTTAGACAATTTTATGTAGAATATTTCCTACATACATGATTTCTATGTAACTTTAACCATTAAGGCTGCACACGCAACGGAAGCTAAAAAAATGGAGTAACCTCCCGTTTTCCCAACATTTCCCTTCCCTACTCTGCTCCTATTGACTGTAGCGTGATGAAAAGTATACTATAACCTGCCCAGGAGTATGAAGAATAATTGTACAAAGTTTCGTTAAAATCCGTCGAGTAGTTTTTGTTTCTATAAGGAACATACACACAGACAGACAGACAGACAAAAATTTTACTGATTGCATTTTTGGCATCAGTATCGATCACTAATCACCCCCTGATAGTTATTTTGAAAATATATTTCATGTACAGAATTGACCTCTCTACAGATTTATTATAAGTATAGAAGATAAAATAAATAAATAGAATTAAAAAAAAAAATCTTTATTTATGCTGCACGTATGCACACTTTTATACTTTGACTAATCAGATTTCCAATGACCAACTTTTATATGATACTAGCAAACCCGGCGAACTCCGTTTCGCCACCAGATGGCTTCGTTTTATGTAACATTTCGTTTGGTGATTAAAAGATTTAATTAATTTGATAATTTTTCCTGAATTTTCTTTGCTATAAACCTCACGGAGCCCGAGACCTTTCCAACGAATGCAAAACCGTGGAAATCGGTTCGTGCGTTCTGGAGTTATAGCGTCAGGAAGGAAAACCCGACTTATTTTTATATAGTAGATGTTTCCAAAACGTTGCTATAGAATAGAAAGTCACCCCTTACACACAAATTAGGCACCTCTAAGTAGCGGCACGCTGTGATGGCCGTTTTGACGTTTGTGCATTCATGAAGTTTCATAATCTAAATTCGAAGTTAGTTCTACATTTGAAATAAACAATTACTGTTCTTCATTGTCATGAGAGATGGTCATTTAGTCATAAAATTGATCGAATCGGTAATTTTAGGGTGTAGAATTAAAATTTTACAAAACTATAAAAATTCATGGTCTAACATATAAAGGTTACGAAAATCTTTTCAAGTTTAAAACCATTAAATATAATATAATTTTCAACTCAAAAACATCGGCCCTTTGACAGCATCTTTAAAGTATTAATTTAAATAATCGTTTTATTCTTATTATCATTAAGAAATCTAATATCATACAAATAATAATATAATTATAGTGTACTTATTCGCCACACAAATCGGCATTTGTGTTGTTAGAAATTCAAAGTGTAAAAATTCATAAGATCGTTACATATACTCGTATTTGATTATATAGGATTTTTTGCGATAATAGGTTGAACATTCGCGTCACTATTGCAGTGTGTCAAAACGGCGATCATATCGTGCCGCGACTATTATAGTGTTGAGTTTCGGAAAATATTCGCCGTAAAGAAAAAGAAAGGAAAGTCGAAGTTTCTTCACATTCTAGAAGGAAAATCTTGAAACAAAAATGAAATCATGTAACAAAAAAGGCATTTGCAATGAAAAAAAGATTTAATCAACGTTAACATTACATATAGTTAACAACGAAATAGCTGCAATAAAATTAATGGTAGGCTCGCGGGTCGGTCGCTCGCACTGAATCCAACAATACATACGCACGTTCATAAAGTATAATGATTATCGTTGGGTCACCGACGTCGCTAAACATGGTATATGCTATGGAAAATAAGCGATGCGTGGCGATGGTGTGATTCGCTCACATCGATGCTCTCTCATTGTCATACCCCCCTTGACGTGATTTAACTGAACTATGGTGTAGAAATGTCCACAATTCGGTTTTGACTGTCCGTTGGTGCACCTGTGTCACCTCTGCCCGACAGCGTGAGTGTGTACGGTGCTTAAGACTTAGACTGTGAGTGCTACGGTGCTACGTGTCGTAGAGGCTGTTAAAAGCTCAAGTAAGTTTTGCCTGCGGATATCGTAGCATAAGAAAGTGTGGAAGCAAGAATTGAGCAATACGTTGAATGCGTCAAGCACTACTGCTACCTACTGCGCTGTTTTATTTGTGGTGTGGAAATAAAGAGGAAGTTCCGTTTGACGTGTTTTGTTACTGGGGCTAGGTAACTAATGAATATGTATGTACTGTAAGGTACATACCAACGAAATATAAAAAAAAATGTTAAATCGTAGTGTAACTTAAAAGTTGAGCCTAACACGATATTTCGTCGTTGCGACTTCAAGACCTCATATGTGTCATTTTTGTCGAAATACCTTTTTTATACGGGTTTATTTCAAATTTTGGCGCAACATCGAAAGCAAGAACTCTCGTGTGAATAAGTCTTTTCAATTTCTATTTATTTACTTTATTCAATATATCTTAAGTGCTTGCTCAAGTAAAGTTGGCATTTAAAATATCTTATGTGTAAAAGCGTTAGATAGGAAATAGTAGATTGTTAACCGAGGGTGAAAAGAATCAATTCCCGAGGTATTTAGACGCCCGAGCGCAGCGAGGGCGGCTATAGTCCGAGTAGGAATTGATTCTTTTACCCGAGTTAAACACTGTACTTTTCATTTCGAATATGAGGAAAATAAAACTAGTTGTTTATCAAAAATATTTATTCAAATATAGGTACAATAAAATTAGAAGTAGCTATTTAAAATTAATTGTCATATTAGGACATTAGTGAAATTAAAATTACATTCTTATTTGGAATGTTTATGCTGTTTGATATACTATTAGAAATTTGGCTGTTTTGGATATCTGTAAAAGTAGGAGACTCCGTTATTTCATCAAACGATGGATTCCATGGCGGATACTTCCTGGAGGTTTGAAGAAGAAGTGAAGAAGAAATACACTTTCGGAAAAGGATTTTATATTCTTCTCTGCTCGCCACTTTATAAGATCATTGTATGTATTCATATATCCTCTTTTGACATTTCTGGCAAAAGATTCTCTATAACACAATTTGCCTCGTCTTTAATTGAATACGGTGTCAACATTTCTTTACATTCTGTTTTACTTATAAGTTTTTTTTTTATTCCGTCACAGATACATAACAGTTTAGTATCCCGCTAATTTATGTCGACTTTTTAAATTTAAATATGGAACAGCGTAATTGTTGCGGCTTATTCCACACTGGCTGTCTAGAAACTCACATGGCATCATTTTTTTTTTTACATAAAACTCTTCACACCTGACAGTAGTTCTATTTTTAAAGTTCATTCCGGCCCTTAGGCGGGAAGTAATTTGTATGAGTTTTTCCATCTCTAGGGAGGGAAGAAGCATTTTCCACCCAACAAACAGATCAAAACAACACCACTTTCCGAGAATGAGAAATGAAAAAATTGATATTGGTCTAATTTTCAAACTAACTAACCAATAGAAGCACTGGAATGAGAGGGATGCATAGGTCGCGTGATTATTTTCCGATTGTAGGTGTTAGATGGGGGTAGAAATATAAAAATTACGTTAGCTTCGACGGGTTCTCACTCTGTGGTTATAACAGTCGATGTGCAAAGTGTATTGCTTGCTCCAAAGCTATTGGCAAGTGCCCTGTTCTATAAATTGAAGTTACAATGTCATAATTTCACTGTTTATGATGTTTTATCTAAAAATGTATCAATTTACTGCGGGCACAAAGCAGACGGTAATGTTAATGAATTTACATATTGCTTAATAGACCATTGTCAAAATTTACCAACTACGATTGAGTGTATTATTATTTTTATGTTTGTAGAACAGAAACCGAATTACGTCGACTGCCCTAAGTTATTTGGCACAACAAAGGCAATTCAATATCGAACAACTCTATTTAGAGAAAGGGCATCAATGATCTGCTCCTTACTCCCGGTATCTTTGGGTATGCAGACGACAGCACAGTCTCGGAGAGATACCTGCCTGATGTGAAGTCTGATGCAGACGTCGGATCTTTAAGGGAGGCGATGGTGGAGGGAGAGAATGCAACCCTGGAAGCTGTTTCCCACTGGGGTGAAGCCAACTTGGTTGGAATCAATCCCTCTAAAACACAGGCCTGTCTCTTCTCGGCGAAACGGAGTCCATTCCATCTGACTCCGACTTTCCGAAATGTGTCGGTTACAGACCATCTCGAGCTCTTAGGTCTGGACATCTCATTCAGCCTCAATTTCGGTCGCTACATCGAGTCCATTACTAAAACCGCTGCCAATAAACTTGGAATACTTTCTAAGGTCAGGCGATATTTTACATTTGAGCAGCTCCTTAACCTTTACCGAGCCCAAGTTCGCTCCTGCTTGGAGTACTGTTGTCACCTTTGGAATTCATCTGCTCGGTTTCAGCTGGATGCACTGGACTCGGTGGAATACCATGCGAAGAGACTCATAGGCAATGACGCTCTCGTTGAGGCTAATCTCCAGAGCCTTGACCACCGAAAACGTGTAGCTTGCCTCTCGGTGTTTTATCGGTTACATTTCGGAGAGTGTGCGGAGGTACTACACAATTTGATTCCCCTTTCCACCACCGGACGACCAGGCGCGGCGAGGGCTTTCACCCTTATGTTGTCCAAGTTCCTCCCATTCGCACGAAGCGATTTACTTCCGCTTTCATTATGCGAACGGCTAGGGAGTGGAACTCCTTACCGAGGTCTGTTTTCCCGGACCAATATAATCTGGACATCTTCAACGCCAGAGTGAACAGGCATCTTCTAGGCAGGCGTGTACCATCCTAGGCCTCATCATCGCTTTCCATCAGGCGAGATTTTGGTAAACGCCTTTCCTATTAAACATAAAAAAGGGCACACCATGATGGAGGTGGACAGTGTTCACTCCACTATTGAGCAATACATAAAACCACTATTATATACTATTGTCATTGCAATGATAAATTTTAAAAACAAATAACTTGTATAATTAAATGTCATGTGTTTTGAATCTCAATCCCTTTTACATACTTATATTCTCTAATGTGATACAAAACGCGCAACCAAAACCTCTTATGTGTCACATTAAATTGTTTTTTTTATTTTTTTACTACAATTTCGATTATTATTTAAAATGACAAGAGCAAAATAAAAATCATAAAACCCTCTAGTTATCACTTGTATTTTTTGTTATATTTAGTTCCCTTATATTTTTTTCAGTAGACAGTTTTTATTGAATATCTCGCAATGAAGAATTTTACACATGGGAGGTCTTAAAGTCGCAACGACGATTTGTAAAAAAAACCGGCCAAGTGCGAGTCGGACTCGCCCATGAGGGGTTCCGTAGAGCAAGTAACATAATATAAAAGTTCTTGTAGTTGGCTGTAACATTGATAGATAGATGTTTTAATAATAGTGTATATTTTTAATTCACTTGTGATTATGATTTTATTTACTTTTTAAGCATTTAACTGCTAGATGTTTAAATCTAAAGAAAAGTTTACTAGAAAAAAAAATCCACGCGGACCAGGCAGCGGACGGGACTCGAACCCGCATCCTTCGCTATCCGGGCGAATGCACTGACCATTATGCTACCACGGCCCTATTAGCCGCGTCGAAATTTTCCTAGCCTTAAGCTGCAAGGCAGCGCCATCTCTTCGCATTGTAGGTAACCCACAATGTCGAATGAATACTTTTTCAAGTATGAAACATTTGAAAGAAGAAATAGCAATTATAGTTATGATTTTATTTATTTTTTTAAGCATTTAACTGCTAGATGTTTAAATCTAAAGAAAAGTTTACTAGAAAAAAAATCCACGCGAACCAGGCAGCGGACGGGACTCGAACCCGCATCCTTCGCTATCCGGGCGAATGCACTGACCATTATGCTACCACGGCCCTATTGGCCGCGTCGAAATTTTCCTAGCCTTAAGCTGCAAGGCAGCGTCATCTTTTAGCATTGTAGGTAACCCACAATGTCGAATGAATACTTTTCCAAGTATGAAACATTTGAAAGAAGAAATAGCAATTATAGTTATGATTTTATTTATTTTTTTAAGCATTTAACTGCTAGATGTTTAAATCTAAAGAAAAGTTTACTAGAAAAAAATCCACGCGGACCAGGCAGCGGACGGGACTCGAACCCGCATCCTTCGCTATCCGGGCGAATGCACTGACCATTATGCTACCACGGCCCTATTAGCCGCGTCGAAATTTTCCTAGCCTTAAGCTGCAAGGCAGCGCCATCTCTTCGCATTGTAGGTAACCCACAATGTCGAATGAATACTTTTTCAAGTATGAAACATTTGAAAGAAGAAATAGCAATTATAGTTATGATTTTATTTATTTTTACCCGGCTGCGCAATGCAAGAGCGCGAAGCGCGACGCGCAGACAGGGTTATGTGTTTAACAGTCTATATATGTATGTTTGTTCCTTTGTGGCACACTAGAGACCAAACGCCTGGACCGATTTTGATGATTCATACATCAATCGATTTGTCTCAATCATGGGAGTGCTACTAAAGATATGATAGTAATCAAAATTCAATATGGGCAAAATTAGGCGCCATATTGTGACGAAGTAAAAAAAATAAGTTGACAAAATATGTCGAGTGGGGTATCACTGTCTAGATAATCAAAAATCATATTTAGGTTCCTAACACCATTTTTCATTTTATATGATTGTTTAGGATCTACAACGCTTTTAAGTTGTATATTAACCACTTACGTTTTTAATTTCAATCTTACGTTTGTATGGATCTTTGTTAATCTTTCACCTAAAAAATACTGAATGGATTTTAATGAAACTTAACAGTTATATAGCTCATATATGATAATTACATATATATAATAATTTATGTAGGTATTGATTGAATTGGCCAATATATAACAATAAGGTGTCACGTGAGACGGAATAAATCTCTCATTTGCGAGCCATTTTGGCCTGCACTGCAAAAACAATAAAAGTTACATGAATGTAATGTAGAGTGAAAATGTATCTCTTAAATAGTTCTAAAAAAAAAGTCCGTGACACCATATCTCTATTTTTAATGTGTAAGTCATTA